ATCTATCTATCTATCTATCTATCTATCTATCTATCTATCTATCTATCATCTCCAAACTAGCATCTAGTTAAAATGGTGTAAAATGCATAAAATATAACTATAGAAAACTCTCTCTCTCTGAATAAAATATTTAATAGACCCACAAAATAAGCCTTTAACAATGGTTAAAGATTGACTCAGCCTTTCATCCTTCCGAGATGGTAAAATGAAGACCCAGATTGTTGGGGACAATAGGTTGACTCTGTAAACTGTTTAAAGAGTGCTGTATACCAGTGATCCCCAACCTTTTTTACGCCGCGGCCCGGTATCCCCAACCTTTTTTATGGCGCGGCCCGGTACCGGCATTAGCTGGGCGCCGCCATCTTTTTTTGATGAAAAAGTGCTTCCGGTGAGCTTTCTACCCGGAAAAGCTCACCGGAAGCACTTTTTCATCAAAAAAAGATGGCGGCGCCCAGCAAGCCAGCGGCCCGGTAGGACTTGTTCCACGGACCGGGACCGGTCCGCGGACCGGTGGTTGGGGACCCCTGCTGTATACCACTATGAAGCAGCATATAAGTCTAAGTGCTATTACTATTGCTATGGTTGAAGAAATTCAACCTATAGAGTTATTTTCTCCTGTAATGGAGATCCACAATCGATTCTGTCATACTGAATTTTGGGCTGCGCTATAGTTATACAAATGGAAGGCAGAAATATAAACAAGCTGATTGAAGTAACCATTAGGTGGCACTGCAGTCTGACAATAGCCTTTTTTGCAAAAAGCATGTCAGTTTTTCCAATCCAAAGGATAAAGAAGAAATGGAAGAAGCATCTTTCCAAAGTGTTAAATCAAGAAAAGTCACAGACTCTGTTTGCAAGGATGAGGTAGAGCTACCATACTGTCTTGAAACATTGGGGGTAGGGGGCAAATACAGAAAATTGCAGCTCCACTGCCTTCTGATGTGATCCAGGTTTTTGGAATCCAGATGAACTAGCTAAATCCAGGAATGTTTTCTGGAGTCACTTGGAATACCAGTATAAATCACTGAATCTGCGCCCCATCTTTTTGCTAAATGCATGGTGCTGGTAAGAGATTTGTACAGATAAATCCATGAATAATGGACATACAAGGAAGCTATGCATTGTGCAGATCATATAACAAAGAATAAAAATTGTATTCTGTCATCTCGGTTTGGTGCTTTTAAAGTTGTAGCAACGTTTCAGCAGAATCTCATCTGCCATCATCAGGCTTCTGTATTGTGTCCGTCTGTGAGTCAGACTTTTACAGTGGTTTCAGATTTAAATTTGGGGCAGCCTATTGCTGTGCCAGAATGGTTTTTTCTTCATCCTGATTGGTTGGGAGTCTTGGTCTGTGTTTATTGGTCTCGGAGTTTGCTGTGTTCTGCTTGATTGGTGTCTCTAATATCTTCTGTCTGTTTTTTGGCTCTTGTTGTAACTTGATTGGCTGGCAATATTGTGTTACTTTATTGGAGGCCTTTAGTGCAGCTTGGCTTCGGGTAAATGGACGGCTATCATTAGTTAGGAAGCTGGGTTTCATCTGGGTGCCTGGTTGGGATGTGTTTGAGCTGGAGGTATCAGGGGGGATCTGTTTGTGCCCAGGTGTTTGCCTGGCTTGTGGTGTGGAGATTTTTTTTGTTTGTGAGTGCAGGCTTCCAAATGATTGACAGCCTGGTGGAATCATCTCTTCTGTTCATGCTTTCTGGTCTTTTTTCAATCTCTATGGCTTCTCTGATGATTCTGTGATTAGGGTTTTCTATAGTGGCCAGGGTTTTGGTGCCATTGAAGTTGATGCTATGACCTGTGGCTTCCATGTGTTGGACTAGTGAGGAAGTGTGTTCCAGCTTTTTGACTGCATTTTTGTGTTCATCCAGGCGGGTGCTTATTCTTCTATTGGTCTGTCCAATGTATGTGGCCGGGCATGATGCACAGGCGACTTCGTATATGCCTTGGTTTTCCAGGTCAATTTTGTCTTTGGGGTTTCTGAGGATGGCTGCTATTTTTCTGTCTGTTTTGAAGGCAGTCTTGATGTGGTGTCTGTATAGTATCTTACTAATTTTGTCTGTAGTGCCTCTTATGTAGGGCAGGACAGCTGTTCCATGGGTCTGTTCATCTTCTGGATCTCTATTATGTCTCAGTGTGTTTTTGTGGATCAAGTTGGTGATTTTGCTTTTGTGGAAGCCGTTGGCTGTCAATATTTTAGTCAGGGTGCATAGTTCAGTCTTAATGTGTGTCTTGTCTGCCAGGCGTTTGGTTCTAGTAATTAGTGTTTTAGCCACGGAGTTTATCTGTGCTGGGTGGTGGTAATGATAGCCGTCCATTTACCCGAAGCCAAGCTGCACTAAAGACCTCCAATAAAGTAACACAATGTTGCCAGCCAATCAAGATACAACAAGAGCCAAAAAACAGACAGAAGATATTAGAGACACCAATCAAGCAGAACACAGCAAACTCCGAGACCAATAAACACAGACCAAGACTCCCAACCAATCAGGATGAAGAAAAAACCATTCTGGCACAGCAATAGGCTGCCCCAAATTTAAATCTGAAACCACTGTAAAAGTCTGACTCACAGACGGACACAATACAGAAGCCTGATGATGGCAGATGAGATTCTGCTGAAACGTTGCTACAACTTTAAAAGCACAACTATAATGACGTGGGAAAATACCCGAACAAAGCCCTTGCTCAAGTAGGAGATCCTATAGCATTCCAGACAGTCTCTTCTTCTTTCTTCTCCTAAGATGTGTGACTTTGGTTTCCAGATATAGATACAGATTAACGGAGTTGGAAGGGATTTTGTAGGCCATCTAGTCCAACCTCCTGCCCAAGCAGACCCCACCTACACCATTTTTGACACATGGAAGTCCAGTCTCTTCTTGAAAGCTTCCAGTGATAAAGTTCCCACAACTTCTGAAGGCAAGCGGTTCCATTGATTGATTGTTCTCACTGTCAGAAAATTTCTCCTTATTTCCAAGTTGAATCTCTCCTTGATCAGTTTCCATCCATTATTCCTTGTCTGGCCCTTCAGGTGCCTTGGAAAATAGCTTGCTACCCTCCTCCCTGTGGCAGCCCCTCAAATATTGGAACACTGCTATCATGTCTCCCCTGGTCCTTCTCTTCACTAGACTAGCCATGCCCAGTTCCTGTAACCGTTCTTTGTATGGTTTTAGCCTCCAGTCTCCTAATCATCTTGGTTGCTTTTCTCTGCACTCTTTCTAGAGTCTCAACATCTTTTTTATAGTATGATGACCAAAACTGGATGCAGTACTCTAGGTGTGGCTTTACGAAGGCTTTATAGATTTTGGGAGTTAAAGTCTACACATCTTAAAGTTGCTGAGATTGAGAAACACTGGTCTGGAAGCTAGATGATGGTGATGATTTTTGTAAAGAAAAGTAGAATTTGATAACACCAGGGGTGGGATTCTACAGGTTCACACCTATTTGCTAGAACCGGTTGTTAACATTCTAAGCAGTTCGGAGAACTGGTTGTTAGAAGAAATTACTGGCCTAATCCTGTAAGGAAGGCAGGAAGGAAACATTCTGGTGTTGCTTAAAGAAACTGCCTCTCCGTTAACCCTTATTACATTCTTGGCAGGACTAGACTTCCTGTCTCAGGAACATCTCTGGAGTTTTTTGTCCTGCTTTGCTGATACTTTGCTTGTGTGGAGTGACCATTCAAAGTTACAATGGCACTGAAAAAAGTGACTTATGATCATTTTTCACACTTACGATGGTTGCAGCATCCCCACAGTCACGAGAGGCCAGGCAAGGAGAAGCGTGCCTCAATGTGAGTGATGTTGAGTTGGCCAAGCCCAGCCAGTCACAGGACCACCAAGCCATACCCACCAACTAAGCCACACCCACCACCTAAGCCACGCCCACAGAACCAGTTGTTTAAAAAAATTGAATCCCACCCCTGGATAACACGATCTGCACCTTTTCTGAGATTGGAATTGTGACTGCATGTTCCTCCTTCCTGACTGTGGTTCTCCCCTAAAGCCAGGTTTGGATTCGAAAAAAACCTGATAATCCTAGGGTTTCATCCCTTTTCTCTCTCTCTCACAGGACAGCTTAGCCCAGAACCAGCATTTTCAACAAAACCAGGCCTGGTGGTTGTGATCTGCCTCTTCGTCATTGTCCTAGTCATTGGGACAGTTGTAGTCTTAATAAAATGCTGCCGTCGGAAGGAACCAGCCTTTAAGAAGCTGGACGAGGTGCCGATGGTATGTACTCCAGGGTGGGGTATGAGACAAAGGTTGAAAAGGCTGTTTCCTAAAATTCAGGGTTCATAATCTGTTCTTGGCTTCAAATGTTGACAAACTGGATAGCTGTGGCATTTGAGAAGGCTCCATTTCATCTTTGTCCTCTCTCCATTTTCCTTAACAGGGAAAAGTTGCAGAAGATTCTCCCTTTGCCCGATACCCTCCGAAATAACCTTTCCAACTCATCTTCTGGACTCTTGTTTCATGGATATTTTAAACAAGCATCAAGAATGTTTACTCCCATGAGAGACTTTCTGTGTGAAATAAACTTGTTCTAGTTGCATGAGTGACAATTACTGTTTTGTGTCATTTGGCTCCTCTGGTGTGTGTGTGATGTATTCATTTATGTGTCAGTTTAGGTAAATATCGATTTTGCAGATGCCTTCCTAAACTTTAAGAATCTTTGCACAGCTACTGAGCTCTTGAGCAATGCTCTAATTTTGTTAGGGGAGCTAGGTTATGCAAAAGATGATTATGCAGCATCCAATTAGAGCAGTGTTTCTCAACCTTGGCAGCTTTGAAGATGTGTGGACTTCAGTTCCCAGAATTCCCCAGCCAGCACAGTTGGTTGGGGAATTCTGGGACTTGAAGTCCACGCTTCTTCAAGTTGCCAAGATTGAGAAACACTATTCTAATTGGATGCTGCAGCTCATCTTTTGCATAACCTAGCTCCAGAGATGGTATTCAGCAGGTTCTGATCAGTTCTGGAGAACCGTAGCGGAAATTTTGAGTACTTCAGAGAACCTGCAAATCCCACCTCTGACTGGCCCCACCCCTATCTATTCTCTGCCTCACGAGTCCCAGCTGATTGGCTGGGTCTTCTTTTGTTGTCCTGCACAGGAGAATGGAGCTGGAAAGCAGGTTAGTGGGGTGGGGAGGGAATGGGATTTTGCAGTAACCTTCCCCTGTCACGCCCACCAAGCCACACCCACAGAACAGTTAGTAAAAAATTTTGAATCCCACCACTGCCAAGCTCCCCTATACCTGAAATGTTTGTTGTTTGTTGTTTGTTTATTATTTATGTATTTATTAACAAGTTTATATAGATATCCAAGTTATACACAGGCAGCTTACACCGCTTAAAAAATTTAAAACATCCACCATACAATACAGGTAAGTCCTCAACTTACATTCATTTGTATAGTGACAGTTTGAAGTTACAACAGCACTGAAAAAGTGACTTATGACTGTTTTTCACACTTATTGCCATTGGACCACCCCCAAGGTCATGTGATCAAAATCCAGAGGCTTGGCAACTGACTCATATTTATGACGGTTGCCATGTCCCGGGGTCATGTGATCAACTTTTATGACCTTCTGACAAGCAAAGTCAATGGAAAAGCCAGGTTAATTTAACAACCATGTTACTAACTTAACAATGCAGTGACTCACTTAACAAGTGTGGCAAGAAATGTCATAAAATTGAGCCTAAAAATGGTTTTATAGGTGGTCCTTGACGTACAACCACAACTGAGCCTAAAATTTATGTTGCTAAGTGAGACAGATGTTAAATGAGCTTTGCCCCATTTTTGAGCAAAGCTCATTTAACATCTGTCCCATTTAGCAACATAAATTTTAGGCGCAATTTTGGTCATACAACAAGGACCACCTGTAAAACCATTTTAAAAAGTATTAATGATTGATATCAGAGAGTAAAACAAAGTCTATAAGATATGTCAGAAGCACAACAATTATTTATCACAGTAGTTCATGAAGTCATTCATAAAAAAGGAAAGCGCAGAATATTTACTGAGTTCTTTTCTCCAAAGGAAACATCATCATTAAAAAAAAAAATTAAAGGAAAACTACCTCTCTGAGGTAAGAAATTTGCCGTTAATTTCTGCAGAGCCTGGCAGGCCCCTAACTACCTCAATTCCAACTACTGCTGGCCTCAAATGCAAGCTACTCAATGCAAGAAGCCTTGTGAATAAAATACCTGAATTTCTCCTCTTACTAAATATGGCTAAATTCGACATCATATTTGTCTGTGAAACATGGCTCAATGCATCTCTCCCTGACTCCATTACCACAGTAAGAGACTATCATGTTTACCGATCAGATCGTGAAATTCGTAGAGGAGGTGGTGTTTCTATCTTCTATAAAAAGTCCTTACATCTAAAAAACATCCAAGTTACCCAGGAGCTTGCTCTTCCTGAGACCATCATCTGTGAACTATCCTTAAATATCACATTTCGATTCTTACTATGTTACAGAGCACCTGATTATGACATCAAACATATAAATAAGCTAAATTTACTACTAACATGGGCAACATCCTGCCCACATGCTTTTATCTTTCTTGGTGACTTCAATCTACCTCATATTGACTGGACCCTAAACGAATGTACAACTAAACCCATGCATGCAACCTTCTACAATGCTGTTACAAATCTGGGACTGGAACAACTAGTAACCAACAATACTAGACTAAACAACTGCCTCGATCTCATCTTCTGCAATAGTTTGAATTTAATTTATGGAATACAAACTAAAGAGCCCTTTTCCAGCAGTGACCACAATATGATTGACTTTTGTCTCAACATACGCCCACACAAAAATCATCACAATGACGTAATCCCCAATTATAACTTAAAAAAAGGCAACTATGATCTTATAGACAACGTTCTCTCATCCCTTGATTGGCAATCTCTATTCACTGGATGCAATACTGTTGAAGATCATTACAACATATTTTTACTTGAAGTCAAAAGAGTCATCAAACTATATGTACCAACAACAACTCCCCCCCACCAAAAAAAAAAACAGATTACCCATAACAATAAGGAAACTTCAATCCAAAAAGAGATCACTCTGGTGGAAAAACAAATCTGGTCACGTTGCCAATTTCAAAAGCCGATACAAAAATTTATGCCACCAGATAAAGACTGAATGCACCAATTATCACATGAAACAAGAGGAAAACCTTCTACGCACAAATTCCACCCGCGCTTTTTACAATTTTGTAAACAACAAACTAAAAGACTCAAGGTCCATCCCACCCCTGATAGGAGCTAATGGTAAAGACTGCAATGACGACACCATTAAAGCCAACATCTTTAACACATTCTTTGGCTCAGCATTTGTAAACAGCAATGGATCATGCCCAGTATTTCCTAGCCGAACCACAGAAAACTACAATGATCTAATACATATTGATTTTACAGAAGACAATGTTGAAAAAGCACTATGCAATCTAAAACCATCTCTATCTATTGGACCAGATGGAATATGTGCCTACTTCTTAAAAAAGTTATCCACTGCCATAGATGAACCTCTAAGCATAATCTTTGAAAAATCTTTCAGGTCCAGCTCCTTGGCAAAACTATGGTCACAAGCCACAGTCATCCCCATCTTCAAAAAGGGAGACCCCAGCCTAGTTGAAAATTACAGACCAATCTCCTTATGCTGCATCACCTGTAAAGTCATGGAATCAATTATTAACCAATCCATTATCCTCCACTGAGAGACAAACAACCTACTCTCCAATAAACAATTTGGTTTTAGAAAAAAACTATCCTGTAATCTGCAACTCTTACACTGCAAAAACATATGGACTACACAACTCGATCAGGGCAAAACAATAGACGCAATCTACATAGACTTCTGTAAAGCCTTTGATTCAGTGGTACACGACAAACTACTAAAACTAAAATCTTATGGTATCTCTGGACAACTGCATAACTGGATAGAAGCATTCCTGTCAAACAGACAACAAATGGTCAAAATTGAGAGTGTCCTATCAAAATCTGTACCTGTCAATAGTGGTGTCCCCCAAGGCAGTGTTCTAGGACCAACTCTCTTCATACTCTACATAAATGACCTCTGTGATCATATTAAGAGCAACTGCATTCTCTTCGCTGATGATGTAAAGCTGTTCAATACCACAGACAATACTGCTACCCTTCAAAAAGATCTCGACTATGTATCAGAATGGTCAAACAAATGGCGACTTCAAATCTCAACAAATAAATGCTCTGTCTTACATATTGGCAAAAAAAAAAATCAGAAAATAAAACACAAGCTGAATAGTCAAGACCTTGTTGATGATCCAAACTCTGTCAAGGATCTTGGGGTACTCATCTCTAATGATCTAAGTGCTAGAGCCCACTGTAACTACATAGCCAAAAAGGCATTAAGAGTTGTTAACCTAATCCTATGTAGCTTTTTCTCTGGTAATATCACACTACTAACTAGAGCATACAAAACATTTGCTAGACCAGTACTCGAATACAGCTCATCAGTCTGGAACCCACAATACGTATCTGATATTAGCACAGTTGAGAAAATCCAGAAATATTTCACAAGAAGAGTACTCCACTCCTCTACTCGTTATAGAATACCTTATGCCACCAGACTTGAAATTCTAGACCAGGGATTCCCAACCTGGGGTGCTAGCACCCCCTGGGGGTGCGAGACAATATTCCAGGGGGTGCGAGAAAAGTCCAGGTAAATAATAGGATATTGGCTATATGTTGGCATTTTTATTTTCTTTTGCAATGGATTAACTTAACTGAGCAAAATATAAATTTCAGGGGGTGCGAGGTTCGAATGAAATTTCTTTAGGGGTGCGGGGTGAAAAAAAGGTTGGGAACCACTGTTCTAGACCTAGAAAACCTTGAATTACGCCCTCTACGGTCTGATCTAGGTATGGTATATAAAATTATACATTGCAATGACTTACCTGTCAATGAATTCTTCAGCTTAAACCATAACAACAGAAGAGCACACAATAGATAGAAACTCAAGGTTAACCGCACCAAACTTGATTGCAGGAAATACGACTTCAGCAACAGAGTGGTCAATGTCTGGAATACTCTACCTGACTCTGTGGTTTCTTCCCCAAACCCCAAAAACTTTAACCTTAGACTGTCTACTATTGACCTCACCCCTTTCCTAAGAGGTCTGTAGGGGGCGTGCATAAGCGCACCAACGTGCCTACCGTCCCTGTCCTACTGTTTCTTTTATTTTTCTTATATGTACCCATTTTATGTATTCATAACTATGTATATACTTATATCTATTATCTTGTAAGTGATTGACAAATCTAAATAAATAAATAAATAAAACATTCTGCCCATTCCACTTTTGTTCTGCATAAATACAATGCTTTTACAGTGTTATTGGTCCGAAGAACGAACAGATACTTCATATCCTCAAAAAGCTCTAAATAAATGTGAAACACTATTTGTGACACCAGGGAATCCTGATTGCTGCCTCCCTCAACCATCTTGCTTGACACTTCCCAAATTAACTTTCTAGAAATGCATCTGCCAGGCTAAT